TAGGATTGTTCAATGCACTAAATGAGTAGCTGTAATTCTCTTAGAGGCATACCTGAAACATACCAAGCACATTATAATTGGTGGTCTTGTTGTTTCTGAATTATTGGTGCTGTTATCATTATTTGTTATTTCTCCCTATTGATGTGGGACCTGCCAGACCAATGTCATAGATTCTGAAAGTCATTAAATTAGCTCTCCAGAACACTACAGCCTTGTCAGTATCAGGAAGCATGGCCCCTCAGTGAGGCCATGGCCAGCATGACTGCCCTGGCTATGCATCAACTTTGATAACCAGTATTGTACATGGCATTTTCGATACTTTTTATAGCCTATTCAATGTCATTGGGATCTACTTCCCAAATAAGTCTCTTATAACTCTTGTTTTTTAGAAAAGCTTAGCCCATTCTGTAGCCTTCAGGCCATGATAATAAACTCCGGTAAGATATCAGAAGAAATAAAGAAGAGGTTCATCCTCTACCCATATTCAATCAAGGAAATATGATATTTCTTGTTCTTTAACCATCATTGTCAGGTTTGTCCAAGAAATCCTTGGTTTGTCCATAAATTTATGTTTATTGTTTCAAAATTAACACTGAGATTTTTATTCTTTGGACAGTTACATATTCTGTTTAAATTCATAAATGTTGCCTTCATTTTTTCATGCTCTTTCAATCCTACATGATTTCTACATTTTCTATCTTTGTAATATAGTCAGTGTTTATTAAGATACTTTCCATGTCCATTAACTTGTGTCCTGATCCTTGCATTTAGAGCTTTACATAATCTATGTATTTATCTTTACATATCTCATTTATGAGTCTGTTATGATATTTTATAACTTTAATATATTTTAGATCTACCTTTCTAAACTAGTAAACTTCAATAATGTAATTAACTAGGGGCCCAGTGCACGAATTTGTGCACCTTGAAAGGAACTGTGGGCCTCAAGGCTGCAGTAGGTACAGGGACGGGTCTTGGTCCACTCTCTGTGCCCCTGCTGCGCCCTCCTGCCACAGCCCCAGCGGTCTCCTATCTGCCGGCAGTCCCGCTCCCAGCTCCCGCAGCCTCTGCCGCCCCCATGCACTGACAGCACCCACTGAAGGTGCAGAGCAATTTGGGCTGGCGCCAGCAGCGGGTATGAGCAGCAGCTGCTGCCCCAATCGCCCCTCAGGAACAAGGGGAGCTGGAGAAGCCTTCAGGGGTGATCAGGGCCAGCAGCTGCCACTGGCACTTGCTGATGGCGCCAAGCGATCAGGACCGGCACCAGGCACCGGCAGCGGGTGTGAGCAGGGCCAGCGCCGGCAGCAGGTGTGAGCACCTGGCGGGACTGCGGCACAGGGGAGCAAAGAATTTTCGGTAACCACCAGAGGCTCGCCCAATGGCAGCAACTGGCACTGTGCCTTTGTCTGGCACCCCCACTCACCTCTCCACCATCCCACCACGGCCAATGCCCGCCATGTTCCGCGCACACCCCCTGGTGGTCAGTGTGCATCATAACAACTGATTGTTCGGTTGTTCCACCGACCAGTCTATTTTCATATTAGCCTTTTATTATATAGGATTAGTATTTGGATATTATATGTGAAAGATAAATTATTGAATACCCACATGTCCACATTTTATGTCCACTCTCAGAATTATTTTGTTAATCTATTCATTCTGAGATTTTGGCTTTAGTCTATTACAAGCAAATTACAGTTTTATTAATTAGATATCTTATTATATCTTTGTGATAACTATACCAATTTTTAATATAATATCACAGATCAATATTATTTCATCTGAAGTCTATATTTATGTGCTGATAAAGATTTCATACCAAATCTTCACAGTCAATTATTTTGTTTGTTTCATTTTTTTTTCTAGACTCTCCATGGCAGGAGTAGGAGTGATACACTTCATAATTTCTTGCAGAGCTCCGAGTGTATAACTGTTAACTTTATGAGAAACAATAATTTGGTAAAGTATATCTTGGGTCTTGAACTCATGAAAAGTACTGTTTGTTGTCAATTAATTATGTAGATGACATATGAAACACTATTTTGATTTTTTTCTTTATTTAATCATTTTTCTATAATTAAATGCTTATTCATTTAGTTAGAAAGAATATATTTCCATTCAATTGTCAGGTGTTACTTTTTGTAGGGAGAAAAAAATAACTACTTTTTTAAGGCTACTAACACATTATCTTATGGTTGAGAAAATTTTCTTATGTAGGTATTTTTTATAACTAATTATTATTTTTGATCTGATATCAGAAACTTCATTATGAAGGCTCTTTGTCTCTGTTTTCTAGGGTTGTCTTCCCTAATTCTTGCTTTTTATTAGCAATGATCTTTCTAGCCATTTATTTATCAATCATTTCATCCATGTTTTTAGTATGAAGTGTAAGAACTTTTATCTCCCCCCGGATCCTAAAGATCGTCTCCTGTTTTGTTCTACAAGTTTTATAGTTTTACACTTTACATTAATTTCATGATCTACTTTGAGTTAGTTTTATATAACATGAGACTTACATTTCAATCCGTTTTTTTTTTTTGCTTACAGATGTACAATAATCCCAGCTTAATTTGTTGAAAAATCTATTTTTTCTATTTAATTGCTTTTCTATCTTTATCAGAAATAAATTGGGCATATTTATTTGTTTCTATTTCATAGTTCTTTATTCTCTTCTATTAATATACATCTCTATTCTTTGGCCAAAACCACACAATCATGATTACTGGACTGAACAGTATTGTACTGCATCATAGCTGCACAACAAGTTTTGAAATTGATAGATCATTCCTTACACTTTAGTCTATTTCAGAATTGTTTTATATATTCTAATCTCTTTTCCTTTTCATATAAGTTCCGCGGTATTTCTAAAAAAAAAGAAAAAAAAGGAAAAAAAAACCTCACTAAGATATTGGTTGGAATTGCATTAAATAATGTAAATCAATTTGGGTATAATTGGCATCTTTATTGTATTGAGTCTTCCAAACAGTTTATTTATGTCTTTTTAAATTATTTCATCAGCACTTTATAGACTTCAGTATACAAGTCCTGTTGTTTGGATAGATTTATCTAAGTGTTTAATATTCTTTTTAAGTGTTTGTAAATGCTATTATATCTTGAAGTTTGATATTTGCATATTAATTTTTAGTGTATAGAAATAAAATTCACTGCTGTGCATTTATTTTGTGTCTTGTGACCTTACTAGAATCATTTATTAGTTGCAAGATTTTTTTATATATATTCATTGGGCTTTCTATAAGATCATCTGCAAATAAGAACTTATTTCTTGAAAGAAAAATACCACATGATCTCACTCATTTATGGATAATAAAGACCATTATAAACTGATGAGCAAAAATAGATACAGAGGCAGAGCAGCATCGAATAGACTGTCAAACTACAGCGGGAAGGCCGGGGAGGGTTGGGGGACAGTAAGGGGGCGTAAGAGATCAACCGAAGGACTTGTATGCATGCATATAAGCATAACCAATGGACACAAGACACTAGACTAGGGGTTAGGGGAGGCCGGGGGAATGTCAAGGGAGGGGAAAAAAAAGTAGACCTATGTAATACTCTTTGTAATACTTTAAGCAATAATAATACAAAAAAGAATTAAAAAAAAAGAACTTATTTCTTCCTTTCCAATTTATAGGCCTTTATTTATTCTATGCTGCTTGCAGTGATTAGAACTTCCAGTTTTATGTTGAATATCAGTAATTAGAGAAAACATCTTTGCTTTGTCAATTAAATTATCTTAGGGAAAAATATTTACTTGTTCACTATTAATTATGGTGCTACCTGTAGGTTTTTGTAAATGTTACTTTTGAAGTTGAAAAATTTCCTCTCTATTCATATTTCTTTTTATTTTTTTATCATGAGTGGGTGTTGAATTTTGTGAAATTATTTTCTGTATAAGTTGATATGATTATATGATTTCACTGTATTAACCTTATTGATATGGTGGATTATACTAACTAATTTTCAAATGTTGAATGATGCTTGTATCACTGGAATAAATCTCTCTTAGCCACCACTCATAATTTTTTCTATATATCGTTGAATTCTGTTTGACAATATTTCTTTTCCCATCTTGCTATTGATTACTCAAACATTATTATAATTCCATATTGGTTTACCTATAATGTTTTTAAGTCTTACCTATGTGTAGCATTTTTTAGTGGTTGCTCTAGATATTTGTTATCTATATAAAGCTTATAACATTCTACTGATGTTAAGTTTTACCAATCCAAGAGAAGAAAACATACCTCCCTTATGTCCCTTTTTTATCATATATTTTTTATAAATGTTCCTTCTATATATGAAGAACCACATTAGTTATAATTTTAGCTTCAACCATCAATCATAATTTAGAAAAATCAAGTGTAGAAGAAAAGACTGTTTTATTTATCCATAGTTTTGCCCTTTACATTATTATTTCTTCCCTCCTAATATCTAATTCCTGAAGCCGGTCCATCCTTGCTGCTTGACACAGTCGCTGCAGGGAAGAAACATCTGCACAGCATATGTTTCAAGGGACCTGGCGTATATGACATACTGTTCTTAATATGTTTGCTCACCTTCTTGGCGCTATGTGTTTTAACCAAGGTCACCTCTCCAAGAAAGGTTGTTTCCCCAGGTAGGGATTTTTCCCTGAAGTTAGGGAGGGAATAAAACCTCTTAACTAAATGCCAGGAGGGTAGTTAATCACTTTAACTAGGAACAATCACCCTTAAGCTACATAATCTTTACTCCCTGGAATGGAGATAAGAAACGCCCTAACCTTTGGAATAGAAATTGACAGGATTAAAATCAACTGGTATAAATACAGATGTAACAAGACAATAAAACACAGAACCTGGCTGGAGATCCTGGCTAAAGAACCTGGCTAGGCTGCTGATCACCTGAACACTGTCTCAGTGTCATTCCTTCTTCGCTGACTCGGTCCACACCTTTGGGAACCCCTGGACCTGCTAGGGTTGGACCCCAACGACACGCGACCTGTGATGCCGAGCAGCGCGGCTCAGCTCGGCCCCGAGGTGGCCCAGACTCACACACAGTCCCTGGCGCACGGATCCCAGGCAGAGATGGAGCGAGCAAACCCTTGGCCAGAGGCTCCCCACCAGGATACTGACAAGTTGATGTGTGTCTCAAATATGTCCCCATCACCCGAAAGCAGTGGAGTGCACACCTCTTGGAACTGTGAGTCATCAGGCATTCAACACCTCCTCCAGAGTCCACAGATGGAGAGGATGCCCTTGGCTTCTGCCCAGGAGCCCAGGCAGATTGCAGATGAAATGGGGCCACAGTTTAGTGTGTTGCTGCCTAAGGATAGTGTGAACTATTGCCCCCAAGTGACTTTCCCTCCTTCCCAAATGATTTACTGTCAGAGAATGTCTCCCTCTCAACCAGGAATGATGATTTTCAACAGGTCCCAGATGATGTCCTTTGGAGAGCCCAATATTCCAGGGATGGCCATGAACTTCAGTGGGAATCTGAGCATGCCCCACAATGGGCCACCAGTCACAATGTCCCACATGAAGACACCAACAATGCATTATTCTGGCGACCCTACAGTACCTTCTAATAGAGACTGTTTAACACCTCAAATGTTATTGCCTGCCACTGTGCCTTCTGCTGTGGGCCAGGCTGGGTTCCCCTCTTTGGCTCAGATGTTACCCCCTAGAGATCCCCACAACTGTGGAATGCCCCCAGATGGCTCCCCATCATTGCTGACTTTAGAATCCCAGGACTCTTTTGTTAGCCAGCCAGCCTCCCAGGAAGACCCCTTCCTACCCGAGCAGCCTATACCTGCGCCACAAAGAGCAGAGCAGAATTGTGAGGCCTCAGAAAGGGCTTACAGGAGCAGATCCCAGATTGCAAGGCCTTACTGCTGCCAGTATGAGAACTGTGGGAAAGCTTACACCAAGCGCTCCCACCTCCTGAGTCACCAACGCAAACACACAGGTGAGAGGCCCTATAAATGTCAGTGGGAAGGTTGTACGTGGTCTTTCTTCCGTTCCGATGAGCTTGGACGACATATGCGGATACACACCAGATACCGGCCACATAGATGTGATCAGTGCAGCCGAGACTTCATGAGATCTGACCATCTCAGGCAACACCAAAGGACTCATCTGCGGGTGCCAGAATCCCCCAATCCACAGGCCAACGATGAAGAGAGAGCTGGTCCTCCTGCTTCTGATCTTTAGGTCAACCTCCTCTTCCCTTCATTTTGGCTTCTCCACTCAGATCCTGCTTGCCTCTGACCAGCTAGTCTCTTTAGTAGGTATAGGCTTATTTGCAGACCGAGAAAGATTGCGAGGCAGTGTTGAGTGAAGCCCATATGAGCTGGACCCCATCAGGGACTCTTCAAAAACTGTCTTGGATGCCCTTACCTCTTTGGGGCCACCTACTGTTGCTGAGTTTAGCTACATGGAAAGATGAAGCAAAGTAGAGATTGGGAGCTTTATTAAAAAGCTCTTTATGTCACTCCCCAACTTAAAACTCTTCAGTGACTCTCCTTTGCCTGCTATAAAAAAACCCAAGGTTCTTATCTTGGTCTTCCACAGTTTCCAGAGCCAGGCTATGTTCAAATCTTGACTATGCCGCTTACTAGCCATGAGACCTTGGCCAAGGTCTTCTAGTAAGTGAAAAAAATATTAGTGGACCGTTTGGGACACATCTTATGTCTTGACTCAGATTCTGTCCAGAACTCACCAGACACATGCCCAGAGTTTGTCTCCTCCCACCACTTCCAGACTTGGATGGAATGTCCCACCACAGGGCATGGGATCTGGCATTTCAAGTAGCCACTAGCAACACAGAAGCCTGGGGGAGTTAATCCTCTTGGGTAACATTTGACTAATGGGAGTTGGGAGAGACCAAGGCAGATAAATTCCCTCTTCTTTCCTCCCTTCCCCAAATTGCTGCAAGACACTGTTTCTCCGAACAGTACAGCCAGTGAGTATACCCGCGGTGCTTCAAGGCTTGTCTTGAAGAAGGACCCACCTGCTAGCGCCTTGCCTTGCTTCCCTTTTCCCCCACCTTGCTTTTCTCCCTCTCAGTGCCTTGGGTTTACACCATCCAAATAAAGTATTAGTACTTCATTCTTGTTTTAGGCTGTTTTCTAGGTGACTTGCGGGTAGAGGACATTAGGTTGGGGCAGAGAAGAACAAACCCACTGTAACTTCGCCTCCTCCTCACAGAGCTCAGGTGCCAGATACCTTTTATTAAAAGGCCTGTCCTGCTCCTCCCCCTGGGTTGAGTGTATAATGGCTATCCTGACAACCAGGTAGTTCGAACCTCATTTCTGGACTTCTCAGCCAGCCATTTTTCTGACCAGCAAACTAATTGAGAGGAATTTACCCAAGGTCTCAAGTGAGCTCTCAAGTGGCAGAGCTGGGATCCCAACCAGGATCTGTCT